TGACATGTTGGTTCGGCCATGGCTACGGCTACGCACGGCTATTAACATAAACGCGCGTGCATGACAATTAAAATTCGTCTTAAATAAACATGATATTGCACATAAATGCTAAGCATGCGAGGGTTAACCGGTGAATTCCTTGAAAATAGAAACATGTTCGGATAATTTACTTAACATGTATCATGAATGCACGGCGATGGCTATAACACGCATGCAAGTAAATTCTAACATCTAATCTCAAATAAACATGATATTCTCGGGAACTTACCTCTTGTTAAGCCTTCGGAGACTAACTCTCGAACTCCCGTGCGATGACCTTCCGCGTGCGTGCGTGTGTTGCGCGTGTTGCGTGCCTCGGACCACCGTGCGAAGGCTAGCGGCGTGCGGAAGCTCGCGGTATTTGTTCCCGAACACACCCCACAAAATCCACACTAACTCTCTCTAACTCCCACAAAATATGGTGCACTCACAATAAACTTCACTCTTACTCACTCTCGGCAATTTTGAGGGAAAGTAGTAAAATGCACAAGTTTTTCCCAAGTCTCCACTAAATAAAACCGAGAGCATAGGGGCGGAGAAAATGAGGGGAGATCAAAGCTCACTCATGCACTAAAATTTGTCTCATTACACGTGAGTTTGCCGAGGTTAAAAGACAAGGTGCTCGGTCAAAGTGTTCCCCTATCATGCACGCATTATGGGACAAAAGACCACCTTGGAACCTCCGCGCGGCGTAAGGGAAAAGGACAAGGATGGCGCACGGATTCTCACGGAAGAATACAAATGGAGCGCACGGACAATGAGGGGGAGAATCTTAAGCAAAAGGACAAAGCCTATGCTTTGGTGCACGGCCTTGGACACTCCGCCGGCTAGAAGTTGCACGGCACTTGCGGACACGCACGGATTCTCTCGGACTACATGCGCGCACGGTCTTCATGACGAATGTTGGGCGGATTCTCGCTCGGACACATGCACGGCACTCGCGTGAAAGTGGACCGAGACACTCGCACACACTTACCACACGACAAACACATGACTATGGACCGAGCACTAATATAAACTCACGGCAAAAATTGCATGACTTGAACAAAATATGCTAACACTTGCACGACATTAACACAAGGAACATGAACCGAGTAATGCCCGACATTTGCGAACAATGTGCACGGCTATGCACATGAACTCGGAATAAAATCCGAACAA